TGTCACCGAAAGTGATCAACTGCTTGTTGACTGGAGTTCCTATCATTTCTTTTAATTTCTCTTTTAAATCTGTGATGGTATCCTCCGGTGATACATCAACTACAACTCTTATACCATTCTGCATTTTCACGTAAATGTGCATAGCGTTGCCTTGTGTTCTTCTGATTAGCAGTTCAATGGTTGAGTCGCTAGTGATGTGGTAGCTTTTCAAAGTGCGTTGTTCATCCTCGAGTTCCCGGTCGTCAAACATGAGTTGTAGCTGATTTGCCGGTATTCCTATCTCTTCCATTGTTTTCCTTTTCACATCTTGGACGGTATCTCCAGACACTGCTTCCATTGTGATCTTTGTTTTTCCAGATTGTGTCTTCAAATGAAGTAGGAAACCTTCATTCTGTTGTTTCACATCCAGTCGCAAGGCTAATTCAATCTGATTGTCATACTCACTCAAAGGACGGTGGTCGACTTTAATTTCTTTGCCAACAAGGCTGAGGCGTTGTTGATCGATTGGAATCCCTTCTCTATCATATATTATTCTTTTCACGCTTTTAAAGTCATCGCTTGGTAAAACATCAAAATAAATTTTTCTTCCTTTGGGAAACTCCACTTGAATAAGTATTTTACCAAGTTCGTCCTCTAGTCGCAAATGCAAGGTTGATTCCGTTTGAACATTGTAACAACCTAGCGTTTTGTGGTCTTGAAGTTCTTGTCGTCTAAAGAACAGATATTGTTGGCTTGGTGGAATACCCTCTTTGTCTTGAACTTTCATTTTCACAGTCTCGATCGAATCCGCTGGTTCCACTTCTAAAGTGATAATCTTACCAGTAAGAGTCTTAACAAAGATTTGCATACCACCACGAAGTCTTAAAACCGTGTGCAAAGTAGATTCTCTCTGAATATTGTAGTCACTCAAAGTACGGCCATCTTCCAGTTGTTTACCAGCACAGATGAGACGTTGCTGATCCGGTGGGATTCCTTCTCTGTCGTGAATTTTTGTTTTCACATTCTCGATCGAATCTGATGGTTCTACTTCTAAAGTGATAGTCTCACCAGTAAGAGTCTTAACATAGATAAGCATGCCACCACGAAGTCTTGACTTCAAGTGCAAACGCGCTCCTTTCGTAACATTGTAGTCACCTAAAGTACGGTTATCTTCCAGTTGTTTACCATAAAAGATGAGACGTTGCTGTTCTGGTGGGATTCCTTTCATCACATGAATTCTCGATTTTACTTGCTCTATGGTGTCTAAGGAATTCGAACCTTCCAAAGTGATCGTATTTCCAGCTTGTGTTTCAATAAAGATTTTCCCGATTTCTTGTGATAGCCTTGAGAACGTTTTAGGACGAAGAGCTCCCTC